TGTGGTAAACTGTGGTCAATGACATGAGACAAAGTATATGTGAACTGCTGTATGGAAAGTGAATTTGCTCTGTAATTCTTCACCCAAATATAAATAAATAAATAAATAAAGGGGAAAAAATGAAACAAAAAAAAAGAAAGAAACCACGGGTCAGCAGTATATTGACAGGGAACTTCCAGAAATGCAAGCTGGATTCAGAAGAAGATGTGAAATGAGAGATATCAATGCTTAGCTGAAAGCAAAGAATATCAGAAGGATGTTTACCTGTGTTTTATTTGACTATGTGGATCATAACAAATTATGGATGACATTGAGAAGAAGGGGAATTCCAGAACACATAATTCTACTCATGAGGAACCTATACATAGATCAGGAGGCTGTCGTTCAAACAGAGCAAGGGGCTACTGCATGGTTTAAAATCAGGAAGGGACTGTGTTAGGGTTGTATCCTTTCACCATACTGACTCAGTTTGTATGCTGAGCAAATAATCTGAGAAGTTAGACTATATGAAGAGTAATGCATCATCAGGATTGGAAGAAGACTCATTAACAACCTACAGTATGCAGACAACACAACCTTGCCTACTGAAAGTGAAGATGACTTTAAGCACTTACTGATGAAGATTAAAGACTACAGTCTGAAGTATGGATTAAACTTCTACATAAAGAAAATGAAAATCCTCACAACTGGACCAATAAGCAGTATCTTGATAAGTAGAAAAAAGGATTGAAGTCAGAGATTTCATATTACCTGGTTTCACAATCAATGCCAATGGAAGCAACAGTCAAGAAATCAGATGATGTATTGCACTGGGCAAATCTGTTGGCAAAAGACCTGTTTTAAGTGCTGAAGAGCAAAGATGTCTCTTTGAAGACTAAGCTGCTCCTAACCCAAGCATTGATATTTCTAATAGCCTCATATGCATGTGAAAGCTGGACAATGAATAAGAAAAAATAAAGAAGAGCTGACGCTTTTAAGTTGAGGTTTTGGTAAAGAATACTGAAAGTGCCATAAGAACTGCCGTAAACTGCCAGAAGAACACATGAGTCCTGGAAGAAGTGCAGCAGGAATACTCCTTGGAAGCATGAAAGGTCAGACTTCGTTTTACCTACTTTGATCATGTTGTCAGAAGGGACTATTCCTTAGAGAAGGATATCATGCTTGGTAAAGTGGAGGGTCAGCAAAAAAGGGGAAGACCCTCAAGGAGATAGACTGACACAGTGGCTGCAACAATGGGCTGAGGTATAGCAAATATTGTGAGGCTGGTGCAGAACTGGGCAGCGTTTTGTTCTGTTGTACATAGGGTCACTATGAGTCGGAGCCAAGTGGATGGCACTTAACAACAACAACAACAATCTAACTAACTGGATTTGAATTTAGGAAAAAGTCCTGCTGTGGAAATCAAAATATCTTCTTCATTATTATATGTATGAAAACTCAGTTCAATTCACAGAGAAAAAAAAAAAAAAAAAAGCAAAGTTAAATGAAAATGAATTGGTTAGCAAGCAACAATCTCACCTGAGAGATGATTCATTCAGACTTCTAGGCTCTTTAAGTCTCCAAAAAACAGGACCATTATTCTTTTCTTTGACTAAAAAAATAAAATAAAAACTTTAAAAGTTACCTGGTAATTAATTAAATAATTTGACTAAGTTAATGAAGAAGACATAGTCATGTGTACTGTTCATAAACCCTCACGAAAACTTACCAGTCCAATGTTATAAGCTGGATTCTAAAAGGAATCCATGCAAGTGAAGGGCACTGAAGCTTACGTTAACAATATGTTCACATGGTCAAATGTTCTTGTAAAATATGTAAAGGAAATACATTTAACCACAATTATTTAAGACCACAGAGTCTTCTGACTTCGATTTTCCTTCCATCTCACTTCCCTTTTGGGAATAATTGTAGGCACTGTGTTTGTGATTTCTTTTGTCCAGCTTGCTTTGGAGTGCTGCTGGCATTTTGTATTTGGTATTTTTTCTCTCTTTTTTTTTCCTTTTAACTGTGGTAAGTAAACATGTTTTGGTTTTTTTTTTTTTTTAAAAAAAAAAGCCATTTTAACATTCTTCACATGTACAATTTAGTGACTTTGTGTGCATCATGTTGTGCAAACATCATCATTATCCATTTCTGAAATTGTCCATCACCCTTAACAGAAGTTCTGTGCCCCCTAAGCAATCACATTCCCTTTTCCCTCCCTCCTTCCTCTAGTGGCGTAGTGCCTAAGGCATTTGACTACTAACCAGAAAGCTGGTAGTTCAAACCCACCAGCCACTCCTCGGAAGGAGGATTGGGCAATCTACTTCTGTAGAGATACCACCTCAGAAACCCACGGAGGGGTCACTATGAGTCGGAATCTACTCGACGCCAGTGAGTTTGGTTTCTGGCTTTTTACAGCTATTTAAATTTAATTAAAGCTAAATAAAATTAAATTCAATTCCTCAGAAGCACTAGACACATTTCAAGTGCTCAATAGCAACAGGTAGCTTGATGGCTACTTATTAGTACCAATACAGAACATTTCCATCATTGCAGAAAGTTCTCTTAGCATGACTATAAAATGTACCAGAAATTAAGTTTCTAATAACTTGATCCATTCAAGAGCTTCAGCTGCTTGTACCACTATCACTGTTTCTGTCAGAATTGTTCGTTTAAAGTTTAATAACCATCCTCTGTCTAAATGTAAGAAGTACTTGTCAAGATCCTAACTGCAGCTCATATAAAGCTGCATCTATACTACAGAGAAAAGCCTCTTTTTCTCTATATCTTCAAAAAAGTTGGGCCTAGTTAGGAATCCTGATAAAAGTGTGGTGATTTAAACTTTAAAGATTTTTCCTGTAAATGATTTACAATGCAGAGCTTTCTTTGTTCGTGTTGATCCAGTTAATTAGAGTGAGAGCACCTTTGCCGTATGGCATAAATATTCCCTAGGCTTTCACCCAAGAGGTTTAGAGTCATAACAGTTATCTTTATTTAAATGCTCAGTGGTTAATGTGTGCTGTTTTCTAGGCATGACATCATTATTACTAACATTAAGAGTTTGAGCAAATGACTTCTCAAAGAGATGGCCAGACCAGTTTGAGCTTGTCTTGCTTCAGGGCCACATACTACAGATCGTCCATGAGTTGGACCATAGGGGTCCTAGATCTACAGTAACACCTAACCTGGGGAACAAGCAACTTGGAGAAGAACTGGAAACAGGGTGCATCACTGTTGAATGCAAGAAGGAGGAACATTTTTTGTATCCTATAATGTGCACTGTGGCTCCTTGGTTCTTGGGGTTTTTTTGTTTGTTTTTTCCCAAAAATTCTCATGCAAGTGTCATATGGTACCTACCTTTATGGATAGCAGTAAAAGAATAGGTGAGGGGTGGTAATTCTGTGGGTAGCCATGCACATGAACATCAGGTAAGTTTGTTTGTTTAACTCTTCACTGCTTTTACACCATTTGCAGTTTCTAGGCATTTAAATTTCATAAAATTTCTCTATGTAATTGGCTTCTTTAATGTGTGTTTTCATCTTCTTACACATGTTGTGGGAAAAAAATCATGGATAATTATGCTTGTGGACAAGAATAAATATGCATTTAAGGCAACCAGCACCCGTTATATATCCTGATTAGTGTGTCAAGAGACCTGGTGAGCAACTAGGGATTTAATAAGCCTGCTAATTACAAGACTTTCTACAGCTATCATGCCCTAGAGTCAGTGTGGAAAGGTGTTTATCCGTGAGAGTATGCAAACACTGTACAATTTTCCCACACTTTTTACATAATCACTCAAGAGGTTCTGAATCTGACTTGGAGTGAAGTCTAGTGGAAAGCTATGGGCTGGTATGGGCAGCTGGGCTAGCTACACCTTCATTCTTTCCTTGCCCTTCTATGCTAAGGATGTAATCATAATGGCTGCCTGGTTTCCAGCTGTGCCCTGCCCTGCCCACATTATTTCATTTACTACAACCACACTCTGAAGCTAGTAATAGAGATGAGAAAGCTGAGGCTCACAAAGGTTAAGCAAATTGCAGAAGGTTACACAACCAGGAAATGTGACAGCCAGGATTCACACCTGAACTTAGCAGAGGCCAAAGTGCATGTTCTTTTCTCTGCTTTCCACTAGCACCCAAATATAGGGATTAAAAAAAAAAAAAACTGCCATCAAGTTGATTCCAACTCATAGCGACCCCCATTGGGTTTCTGAGGCTGTAAATCTTTACAGAAATAGATTGCCTCATCTTGCCCTTGCAGAGCCCCTGGTGGGATCACTGTCTTTCTGGTTAATAGACAAATACCTTACCCACTATGCCACCAGATCTCTTTTATTATATATCTACCACCACCACCACTCAATGCTGTCAAGTTGGATCCAACTCATAGCAACCCCTCCTTGGGTTTCTTAGGTGGTATCACTACAGAAGTAGATTGCCCATCCTTCCTTCTGAGGAGCGGCTGGTGGGTTTGAACTGCCAGCCTTCTGGTTAGCAGTCAAATGCCTTAGGCACTACACCACTGGTAACCACCAGCCTCTCCTCGGGAGGAAAACTGGGCAACCTACTTCCGTAGTGATACCACCTCGGAAACCCAAGGGAGGGGTCGCTATGAGTCGGAATTCACTGGAAGGCAGTGAGTTTTTTATTACATATATGAAACAAGAAAATCTGTTGCCATCAAGTTGATTCTAACTCATGGCGACCTCATGAGTTACAAAGTAGAATTGCTCCATAGGGTTTTCTTGGCTGTAATCTTTACAGAAGCAGATCCCTAGGCCTTTTCTCCACAGTGCCACTGGGTGGGTTGGAACTACCAGCTTTTAGGTTAGAAGTTTGCATGACCCAAGGACCTTATATAAACTCCAAAACCAAAGTCACTGCCGTTGAGTTGGTTCTGACTCATAGCAATCCCTTCTTGGGTTTCCGAGGCGGTATCTCTAGGGAAGTAGATTGCCCAGTCTCCCTTCCAAGGTGGGAAGGAACCACCAGCCTTCTGGTTAGCAGTCAAATGCCTTAGGCACTACACCAGCAGAGGGGACCTTATATATATACACACAAAAAGAAATCCACTGCCATTGAGTCAATTCCAACTCATAACGACCCCCATTGAGTTTCCAAAGCTGAAAATCTTTATGAAAATAGATTGTCCCATCTTCCCTCCACACAGCAGCTGGTGGTTTTGAACCACCAACCTTTTGGTTAGCAGCCAAATACCTTAGGCACTGTGCCACCAGTGCTCCTTTTGTATATATAAAGACCATGAAAATAAACAGTTTAAACATGACCTATACATTATATTCTCTTTTTCTCCATTTATCTTTAAATATTTAAATACTTTTTGTAGGAAAAGCTAAAGTGAAGCACAAAAGATGAAATGTAAAAGCAAGGTGAGTGCCAGGACCCTCACCATCATCATCCCCTTCATTCTCTGCTCCACTGTGGATCAGAGGAAATCAACAGAGGAAATCAATAGGAAAATCAACTGCGTCAGATACTGAGCTCCTTAAGGACAAGATCTAAAAGCGACTTTTCATCCTTTTATCTAGGTGTATAGCACAGTTCTTGGTGTAGATAGATTCTCAATATATATTTTTGGATGAATAGTTTTGGATAATTATCAGGACAGGACTTTGTGGCTTCCTTTACTGGGTAGAGGCCCAAGACTCACAGAGGTAAATAGGGTAAGTCCTAAAGCCAAGGGGTATGTCCTAAATCCAAGTTCACAATCGTTCCAGTTACTTACTTGCTTTTCTTCTCCAGGTTTTTCTTTGAAATCTGTGGTTTGTAACAAGATTATTAAATCAGATAAGAATTGACCAAATGGAATCTAGATTCAAACTCGTTCTTTCTTAAAAAACCGATATTTTAGTGTACATACTTCCTTTCTTTCCTTCCTTTCCACATACACTTATTCATGACAAACCATGTGCTGGGCACTGTTCTACTGACAATGAATTGATTAGGTCATCCTTATCGTAAAGAACATTTTTTTTTTTTTAAGTCTTATAAGAAACATCCTTTCTGGTGTAATTTTAAGAAAATATATTACATACCCTTTTTGTTTTTAGAATGGGCATGCTGAAATGGTAATAATTTCCTCACACCTTTTGATTTTTCACATTCTTTTTTCAAAGAACTGGAAGAATAGACGATACGAATGTGCTGGTTGGTTTCTCTGTCTGGTCCACTCAAAAATTCTGGGTAATCATCAATCTGGAAAAAAAAAATTAAAAAAAAAAAACACCTTTATTTGAGCTGATTGAGGACAAATACAATTGCATACCTAATGCTAGAATAATAAATTCCCCCAAAGCTTAGGGTGAGTCTAAAGTATATGCTTTCTTTTTGTTTTCCCAACTGGGGCATCTTTCCTCTTCCTTCTCGTTGTTAGGTTTCTCAATCCCTCCTCTATTTGTTTTTGAGTCCTTCCTAGAAATGTGTTCATCAGCGGAACCCAGTAAACTATTTACATTATAGGGTTGCCAAATAAATAGTAACAATATTTTTGTTTGTTAAAATCTATTCCTTCCTACTTCTATCGTAAAATTTTTTTTTTTTTTAACCTTCTAAAAATTAAATGTTTATGTGCTTCCAAAGACTTCTCCAAAAGAGTCAAAAGAGAACCTACAGATTGGGAAAAAATATTTGGTAATAA